GGCGGATTGAGGAAGATGGTGTGTGGGGGGGGGAGGACCCTCCTCTCTCTCTCTCTCTCTCCCCTCTCTCTTATCTCCCTCTCTCTCCTCTCGCTAAGCCGAGTCTCGATGGTGCCTTCCTCTTCTCTCCCTCCTTTCAACAGAGGGGGGGGGGAAACCGGGGGTGGGGGGAGCAAAGGCGGCTCGCAGCCCAGCTTTGAGGCGTCCTTTTATTCTGCCTAAAATTGGCCCCTCTCGCTCCCTGTAGCAAGACGAAGAGGAGGAGGGGGAGGGAGGGAGGGGGAGGGGAATGCCCCTGCATCGGGCCTGCATCCTGCAAAGAGGAAGGGCCATCCCATAAAAGCCCCCCCCTCCCGAACCCTCGTGTGGGTCGGTGGGGGGGGGAGAGTTTAAAAAAAAAAAAAGCGGGGTCTTACCTGAGAGGTGTGTGGGGGGGGGTTCTCCCCACCTCCGCCTCGCCCTTTTGAGGAGCCGCTCACTCCTCCCGCCCCCTCCCCTCTCGGAGGGAGAGAGAAGAGAGAACAAGGCAGCCGAGCATGGACGGTGCAACCTAACCTCGCTCGGACGCCTTCAAGCCACGCCTACCGCGCTTCCTAAGCTATGGCTCGCCGCCGAAGAGGCCCATGAGGTTCGGAAGCGGCGGCGGCGTGCGAGAAGGGGGGGGGGGTGAAGCAAGCAAGCAGGTTAGGTTGAGAGGCCTTCCAGGAAGTCTGTCGCCCGCTCGCTGCGGAGTATGGAGGGGGAAGCGAGAGGGGGCCTTCCCTAGAAGAGGCTGTCTAAATAGGCGCCTGATTTCCTCTTCCTCCGTGGCCATGGCTCATTGCGATATAAACTGTCATTAGCAGCGGACGCGATTGGCCTGCGGGAAGTTGCGTTTCCCCGGCTCTCATGCCCGCGCAATCAGGCAGTGGGTTAGCTACCTAGGGGAGGAAGCCATCTTGGATCGCCTGCTTTTATTACAGGACCGGGAATGAATGGGGGGTCAAGGCCGGGCTGGCCGGAAGCTGCGCTCCGGAGTGACTCCGGCGCTTTTAAACGCCTTTCCGTGCCGGCCCCGGCCCCGTTATACAGTTGGTCCTCGCCTTACGACCGTAATGGAGCTCAAAATTTCTGTTGCTAAGCAAGGCAGTTAAATGAACTTTGCCCCATTTTACGACCTTCCTTGCCACCGTTGTTAAGTGAATCGCTGCAGTTGTTAAGGTAGTAACCCGGTTAAGTGAATCCGGCTTTCCCCCATTGACTTTGCTTGTCAAAAGGTCGCAAAAGGGGATCAAGTGACCCCGAGGACACAGCAACCGTCGTATCTATGAGTCAGTTGCCAAGTGCCTGAATTTTGATCAGCTGACCGTGGGGATGCTGCAATGGTCGTAAGTGTGAAAAAGGAGTCATAGGTCACTTTTTTCTCTGCCGTTGTAACTTTGAATGGTCACTAAATGAACCGTTGTAAGTCGAGGACTACCTGTACCGGGCAGGAAAGCCGCTTCTCAGGTTTTGGAGTGACGCACAACATGGAACTTCAGCCGTTCTCGGTGACCTAACCTGATGAATGAATCGGGTGCAAGAATCTGAGTGACCTGTTCACACGACCAGGCGGAAAAAGGGATTCGGCTTACATTGTTTCACATGGGAATTCCGTCCCCGTATTTGAGTCATGCCGTATCTGCATTGTACACTGAGAAAATTAAGTTTTCATAGCTTCTACAGGTAGTCCTTGACTTAACAACAGTTCGTTTAGTGACCAGTTACAATGGCACTGAAAAAAGTAACTTATCATGTTTTTCCACACTTAACGATTGTTGCAGCATCTCCATGGTCATGTGATCAAAATTCAGATGCTTGGTCACTGATTCAAATTTAGGGTGGTCGCAGCATCATGTAAATCACCTTTTGTAACCTCCTGACAAGCAAAGTCAATGAGGAAGCCAGATTCACTTAACAACTGTGTTACTCTAACTTAACTGCAGTGATTCTCTTAATAACTGTGGCAAAGAAAGGTCATAAAATGGGGCAAAACTCACTTAACTGTCTCACTTAGCAACCAACATTTTGGGCTCAATTGTGGATGCAAATCAAGGACTACGGGTATTTTGTGTGACATTAATAGAACTTATTTTTGAGGGGAGATGGTAGAGACCAAGACTGAATCAGAAAGACATTCACAACTTTTGACTGGCACAATACCAAGTATTACAACTGAGATACATTTGTTCTTGTAAACTCAAATTGGGAATGAAACTAAAGAATCATGGCATATCACACATTCAAACCCATTATTTGTAATATTATATTTTATTCTCATGGTATCTATGTGATTGCTAGTTGAGAATAATTTGATGGCACTTAATCATCATTAAAATAATATGTATTTTAAAACCTTTTATAATTGTCTGCGCTTGCTGTGCACTACATCTGCAAGTTTGTTTTAAAAAAACAGTCCATTATTTATAAAAAAAATAAATATAAAAGGTAGCTACAATTTTTTAAATGTCAGTTGCTTTTCTGGAACAAATCCTGGAATTTAGACTTTAGAAAAGGCTTACTCTGTGAGGTTGGATAGAATGCAACTTCTAAAACACACATCTGTGACTGTCAGTAGAAGGACAAAAAAGCTTCCCCACTTTCAGAACTAAAATTGCTGTCTGCAAAAACTGTTTAAAATGATACATAATCAACTCTTACTGGCATATACTCAGAAGTGATCGGTGATGGTCAACAGTGATTACTTTCACATTAATGCATAAGGTTGCAATTTGATTCCCTGAAGGTTTTCGTCATAACCAAACAAAATAGTTCAAGCTTGTTTTATTTTTGAAATAACCAAAATGGCAAGAATAACCAAACCTCAGGTTTGTTCCAACATAGTTCAATATCAACACCATCTAAACCTGGTTCTGATCCATTGGCATATCCAGGGAAAAACAAGTCAGACAGCTGATACTGATAAACCATATGGAACACCCTTGAAAAACAAATACGAGTTGATTAAAGGCAGTTTTAAATTTTGGTTACAATCGTCACAAACACCAACCTTGCCTTTAAAAAGGTCTGTAGGGATTTTTGCCTTCAAAAACTTTGAGGTTTAAGCCAGGTATGTTTTTCCCTCCATTATAGGTAGTCCTCAACTCACAGCCATTTGTTTAGTGACCGTTCAAAGTTACAACAGCACGGAAAAAAGTGGCTTGTGACCATTTTTCACACTTACCACTGTAGCAGCATCCCCATGGACCCATGATCAAAATTTGGATGCTTGGCCACTGGCATGTACTGATGACGGTTGCAGTGTCCTGGGGTCGTGTGGTTCCCTTTTGCGACCTGACAAGCAAAGTTGCTGGGGGAAGCCAGATTGACTTAACAATTGTGTTGCTAACTTAACAACTTCAGTGATTCACTGGCAAGAAAGGCCGCAAAATGGGCCCAAACTCGCTTAACCGCTGTCTTGCTTAGCAACAGAAATTTTGGCCTAACTGTGATCAAAAGTCGAGGACTACCTGCAATGGAAGGTTGTGTTAAAGAATTGCCGCGGCAAAAGGTGAAGCAAATCCTTTTTACACAGTCCTTCGCTTCCTTCTCCCACTAGAAAAGAAAGGCAGATAAAAGCAAACGTGACAACTTTTAATAGGAAGAGGAGAAACAGTACATCACAGCTTAATATTAAAATCAAGTATGGCGACCTGGGTGATGCCCAGGACGCAACGAGTCCAAGATAGGGAATGAGGTTTTCAACAGTGGGGAGAAAAGTCACTGCTGATATACAGTCAGACTGGAGAAGGGAAATATATTTTCTTCTATAAGGAAGGCTAGACAGCCCTGATGGGAAGATTTTGGAAAGGGGTGCTATAGCCCCCCAGCCAAAGATTAGATTTACGTTGGCCCCAAATTCGTATAAAAAGGGGAAAGGAAAACTGGACTGGACAATCCTTGCTTCCCCACCTCCCACAACACTGTCTGAATAAGAAAAAAAAAGCACCATCCTCCATTTGTTANTTATTATTATTATTATTATTATTATTATAATTTAATTTATATACCGCCCTTCTCCCGCAGGACTCAGGGCGGTGCACAGCGTATTAAAAACAGTACAAATACAAAACATAAAAATACAAACCCCTATAAAACCAGATTAAAAAACCGAATATTAGAAGCTGTGTTTCTATTTAAAATTATTTTTAAAATCACCCTAAATCACCCTAAATACTTTACCCCACCTAGAAAAGTGTTCATTCTCTTATCTACGCCTTTTTTTTGGAAAACAAGTTAATGAATTCTCATAAACTGCAAGCAATGTGCATTAATAGTGACTTAATATATCTCTACTTTGGCTTCAAAATTGGATGCACAAGAGCTGTGGTGGCACAGTGGTTAGAATGCAGTATTGCAGGCTAATTCTGCTGACTGCCAGCAGTTCAACCCTGACCGGTTCAAGGTTGACTCAGCCTTCCATCCTTCCGAGGTCGGTAAAATGAGGACCCAGATTGTTGGGGGCAAGATGTTGACTCTCTAAACCGCTTAGAGAGGGCTGTAAAGCACTGTGAAGTGGTGTATAAGTCTAAGTCAGGGGTAGTCAACCTTGGCTCTTTTATGACTCGTGGTCTAAGTGCTTATTGCTATTGCTGTTTTCAATGTAGTAGCATTCTTACATGGGATTCTTCAACTGGCGAAGGCAAGGAAGCCTACCAGATTGGAATCTGTCTATCTGGAGTTTGAAGTCCGATGTAACTGAACCTGGGAAAGCCTCATAAATGAAGGCAGAACAAGAAGCAACGGGTGGAAACTAATCAAGGAGAGAAGCAACCTAGAACTAAGGAGGAATTTCCTGACAGTTTTGAACAATTAATCAGTGGAACGACTTGCCTCCAGAAGTTGTGGATGCTCCAACACTGGAGGTTTTTAAGAGGAGATTGGACAGCCATTTGTCTGAAATGGTATTTCTTGCTTGAGCAGGGGGTTGGACTAGATGACCTCCAAGGTCCCTTCAACTTTGTTATTCTGCATTACTAGTGTCAGTCTGCAGAAACCTGGTAGGAGGATTGAGTACTGTATGGGAATATCAGAAATCTTGATTCTAGTTTCCATCCGTTGCTTCTTGTCCTGCCTTCAGGCGCCTTGGAAAACAGCTTGACTCCCTCTTCTTTGTGGCAGCCCCTGAGATACTGGAACACTGCTATCATGTCCCCCGTCGTCCTTCTCTTCATTAAACTAGACATACCCAATTCCAGCAGCCGTTCCTTATATGCTTTAGCCTCCAGTCCCCTAATCATCTTTGTTGCTCTTCTCTGTTGCACTCTTTCTAGAGTTTCAGCATCTTTTTTACATCACGGTGACCAAAACTGGATGCAGTATTCCAAGTGTGGCCTTACCAAGGCATTGTAAAGTGGTATTAATACTTCATGTGATCTTGATTCTATCCCTCTGTTAATGCAGCCTAGCACTATGTTGGCCTTTTTGGCAGCTGCAGCACACTGCTGACTCATATTTAGGTGATTGTCCACTAGGACTCCGAGATCCCTCTCACAGTTACTACTATTGAGCAAGGTACCCCCTATACGATACCTGTTTTGTTGCCTAAATCTGCCCCATTACAGAGTTTCTGGCTACGGGTTTGACGGAGACCGAGAGAGGCTTCTGTCCAACGACTCACCTCATTGGAAATGTCCAGTTCACCCTGCTGGATCTTTCTGTAGATGGCTTTAGCTGTGTTGAGAAAGGCCTGAGAGCAGCAAACAGAAAGAAAAAATAAATTCAAGATGAGTGTAATATCTGGTAGGATAGACTCCTATTCATCTAGTATCAGTGGAGAAACTTGAAACTAAGAAAGGGACCACAAACAAGGGACAGCCTTCCAGATCCTCCACCATCTGGCTGACAGGTTCAGAAGAAGTTATGCCAGGATTTCCGAGGGTTTTCCCTAACCCCCCCCCCCAAAAAACCCTGCAGAGTTTCTAACGTTTTTTTTTATTCTTCACCTCTTCCACGTTGGCTGATGTCTTTGCTGATGTCTCCATGAAAACCATGCCATGTTCCCGGGCAAAAGCCTCTCCTTCCTCTTTCTGAACAACTCGCCGGTTCTCCATGTCGCTACAAAGAGGCAAAACATGACGGTCAAGAAAGG